AGGGCAGCCCGGTCTCCTGGGCTGGAGAGTTCAGGGTAGAGGGCAGGGTACGCCCACCATACCCTGTAACAGGTAGGATCTGAGGGCCGCTTGGAGGACATTGCTGCCAGGTCTGCTTTGATATGTTAGACAGGCTCCTCGGGCATTCATGGTAGGGTGGGAGGTGTTGAAATTTAACAACTGTGACATCTTGAAGGGGGGGGGGGTCAGGAAACCAATTCATTAAGGCCCAGGTAGAATACTGGGCTATAACCCAATGGCCTGAGCTTATTCCTACAGTGACTTTAGATCTTCATTTGGTGTCAGAGTGAATGGAAGTCTGGGGGTGTTCATGACTCTCAAAATAAAAATATAACAAAAGGAACCCTAGATTGTGATGAGACGATGCACCCTGGTTAAAATGATATCGAAGTGAAACGTGAAGGAGACGACCCCATTAAAGGGAAATTAGTCGGCACGGGGGGGGGGGGGGGGCAAGTATAAGTGGTTCCATTCATCTTCTGTCTCCTGGAAAGAGAAAATGGCCCCCAGCCCAGGAAGAGAAGTCTCTGGGCCCCCAGGCAGCTAGAAGCTTGGTAGTAACCAGGGATGGGACACTACAGGGAGATACTGCTAAGAGCTGCGTTTTCCACCACAAACACCAGGACAGCCTCCCCAACGTGGACACTGAACACCTAAGTGGGTGACCTGTGTGTGCTGAAGGCTCAGGAGGAAGCTCTGTTCTGTGTAAATCCCTAAGACTTCCCCATGACCTGAGGGGCATGTTCCCAGCCCAGCAATGGATAATGATATCCACAGGAGAGGCCCAGGGAAGACGTTTTTCTAGTCTGACTGTATCTACCAAAAATTCACGTTGAGGGGTTTTTGTTGTTGTTTGTTATTGTCTATTTATGCTATGTGTTTTGCCTGTATATATATGTCTGGGTGAGGAATTGACTACAGTTGCAAGCTCCATGTGGGTGCCGGGAATTGAACCCTAGTCCTCTGGAAGAGCAGTCAGTGTTCCTAACCTCTAAGCCATCTCTCCAGCCCCTCATGTTGAGGTTCTATCTCTAGTGTGAAGCACTTAGAAGGTGGGCCTTAATAAGTGACTAGGAAACAAAGACTCAGCTTTCACAAGTGACACTAAGTATATCTATCCATTCACAAATTGATTGGCTCTCTCAATAGCGAGTCTGCTGTAAAAATCAACCTGACTGCTTTTGAGCCCTGTTGTGGAACTTTCCCCCACGGAAACAAGAGCAAATATCTACCTACCCCAGATAGGGCAACAGTGACAGACCACAGGAGCAATTCTGCCTAGTCTAACCTGAAGCAATGAATACAGCATGGGTGAGGGGTCACTTCAAGGAGCAGGGAGGACCCCTAAGCAGTCACACCACTGAAAAATCTCACTCCAGCACGGATGTGACGTTTCTATAATCGCATAGGTGGAGTCCCTCCTTCAGTTAGCTTTCCACCTTCTGTATGGTCTAACTACCTCCCAAACCATAAGGCCATGCTGCAGCAGCAGAGTAATGCAGCTGGAAGGGTGTAGAATCTCCTCTTTGTATTTTTTCTGGGGCAATTTGTAATCCCCAGCGAGGCAAAATTTCCTTTACTGCCTCAAACATCTTTTCCAAAGTATCCTTATTTGAATCAGACAATAATATGTCATCCATATAATGATATATTAACGAATGTGGAAATTTTTTACGAATTATTTCTAGAGATTTATTCACAAAATATTGACAAAAAGTTGGACTGTTTAACATACCTTGAGGTAGTACCTTCCACTGGAATCTCTGTACCGGACGGGAATTATTATAGGTAGGTACTGTGAAGGCGAACTTTTCTCTGTCGTTTTCTTGTAACGGTATGGTGAAGAAACAATCTTTTAAGTCTATAACTATAATTGGCCAATCCTTAGGAATTAGAGAAGGTAACGGCATCCCAGGTTGTAGAGACCCCATAGGCTGAATTACCTTGTTGATGGCTCTAAGATCAGTAACCATTCTCCACTTACCAGACTTCTTCTTGACAACAAAAACAGGTGAATTCCATGCACTAGTTGATTCCTCAATATGTCCAGCATCTAACTGTTCCTGAACTAACTTCTCCAAAGCCTCTAACTTCTCAGATGTCATAGGCCATTGACCCACCCAGACGGGTTCATCTGTCAGCCATTTTAAGGGTAGAGCTTTTGGTTGCTCTGTAGGTTTGGCACTAGCATCTTGCTTCTGTACAGCCTGTACATTTGGCATCTGTTTTCTGTATTGTCTTACTATATTCTTACTACCACTAAGAGCTTGTCTATAATTCCTAGCTGATACAGGAGGAATGTTAATCTGCGTATTCCATTGCTGGAGTAGATCACGACCCCAGAGGTTTATAGCAATATCTGCAACATATGGCTTTAACCTTCCTCTCTGTCCTTCTGGCCCAATAAAGTCAATCCATCTAACGCTCTGTTTAACTTCAGGTAGGGTTCCAATCCCTAAGAATTGAACATTAACCTCTTTTAAAGCCCAGTTGTGTGGCCAGGACTGCTGATTAAGGATAGTGGCGTCACTTCCGGTGTCCAGTAATCCGTAAATCACCCTATTATTTACCTTAACTGGCAGCTTGGGTCTATGATATTGTATAGAAGTTTGCCAAAATATATGTTTTGTATCTCCTCCTGATGTAATTGATTCATCCTCTGGAGCTAATGTATTATCCAGTGCCGTATTATTTACAATGGGCAGTGGATCTTCTAATTGTCCTGGGAGAGGCTGTCCTCCACTGTCACTGGGAATGACCGGATAATCTTCCTTTTCGGGGCTCCATTGAGCCCCAGAACCCCGTTTCCCTGCTTTAAAGATCTACCTTGTCTGTCTATTGTGGAAAAGCATTCATCAGTCCAATGGCGCCCCTTCCCACACCTCCTGCATAGACCAGGAGGCTTAGGCCTTCTGTTTGATGCATTCCTGGTAAAAGCATTATTTCTAGGAATGCGTTGTCTACAGTTCCTACTAAGATGTCCTATTCTACCACAGTTAAAGCATGTTGCATCTTTATGCCTATTTAAATTCTTTGAGATTGCCTTCCCTACCCATGCCTCTATATCATCACAGGTAGGGTATTTGGCATCCTGGTGCCTCCTCAAGCCTGTAGAAATAGCTTCACCTACCCAAGCTCCTGTATCCTGACTTTTACATTCCAGGTTCGCTGTATGTAGGACCCATTCCTCCAATGGCGCTGATCTTATTTTTAATGGCCAAATTACCTGCCTGCATTGAGGATTCGCGTTCTCATACGCCAAAGATTCTATAAGGAGATGCCTCGATTCTGGGTTCGCTACCTGTACTTCTACTGCTCTGGATAATCTCTCTAAAAATTCAGTGAACCTTTCCCTTGGGCCCTGTAATACCTTGGTGTAGGGTTGCATTATCTCTCCTGTTTCACAAACCTTATCCAAGGCATTTAAAGCAGCTGTACGGCACAAAGACAACATGCGCTCGTCATATGCAGATTGAACCTGCGTGTCAGCGTAAGGACCCTCCCCAAGAATCTTGTCTTGGGGTACTTCATGACCCTTCTGCAATTCCTGAATCTCAATTGCTTTTGCTTCTTGCCTCCACAAAGCTCTCCATTGAATTTGACAAGAATTTTCGAGCACTGCAGAGGCTAATTGGGCCCAGTCTTTTGGGGTTACTTTATTTACAGTAGCCCATGAGGTTAGGAGCTCTCTGACAAAGGGAGAATGAAGACCATACATGACAATGGCCTCCTTAATATTTTTTAGATCCTTCATCTGTATAGGCTCCCAGTGATAAGCAATGGGACCATTTGATTGTTTTTTCGTTGCTGGTTTTTCTGTTACAGATACTGGAAAAACCATAGGGGAACGCATAGCAACCTTAGGGAAATCATTCCGGCATTTGAGAAGCTTTGGGAAACTCCTGTCCTGACCTGTTGCCTGTATTTCTGATTCTGAAGTATCAGATTGAGCGTCTTCTAAATCCTGCAGTCTATTCATCATTGTTTCTCTGAGCTCTTGAAGTTCTTGGGACAAATAATTTTCTAAGGACGTCATGGAATCTTTCATTTTTTTACATTCATTATTTACATGTGATTCCAAATTTCTAATATTCTCATCCTTAGCAAGTACCTCAATAGCATGTAAACTGCCTTCTACAAATGATATTCTATCAGTTAGTTCATCATTGCTCTCAGACATGGAACAATTCTTTTCTGCTAGCATTTCAATTTTATGTTCCAGTCTTTGTAATTTGCTAGTGAAATCATCAAACATGGAACCGTGTTTTTCGTTAAATGTTTCCACATTATGTTCCAATTTTTCAATTCTATCTGTGGAACACATTTTTCCTGATAGTAATTCAATTTTGTGTTCCATCTCTTTAAACCTGTTCGTCAGACCTACATTATCATTTTTAATATCCTGAATATTATCTACCAACCCTTTCTTACTCTCCTGCAATGAATTTTGCACTTCCTGAATCCTTTGTATTAAGATTTCAAAACTATCCTGCGATGACTGTATGACCTGTATAAGTTTATTCCTATTTTTGAGCCATTTCATTAACAAAATTATATTGATTATGAAGCTAATAATCACCATCGTGGGTAGGAAGTACCTTTCAGGTAGGTCCTCAACCCTTTCTAAAATCCCATCCATACAAAAAACAAGAAAATTCTTAACATCCTGCATCATAGTGTTAGCTGTTGACATTGTATAAAGCAGTTACGTTTGTTACCAATGGAGTAATTCAGGCCGAAATCAACAGGCTGCCAGCGAAAGAGCACGTGGCCGGAGTCAGCAGGCCGCCAGTAAAACAGCACGTGGCCACGAGAGAAATCTTGGAATACCGCCTAACCTTACCGGCAGGTAGAAGGTACTGGTTCCTGGCGGCAGGAATCGTGCCTTGCCGAGCGAAGTGGTGAGGAACTTAGCGAAAGGAGAGTCCACGTGTGCCTGGTTGGGCCGAGAGAAGCCGCTTTTCTGGGCGCCTGGATCCGGATTCCAATCCCGCTCCCGACACCAAACTGTAGGCTAAACGGACGCTGTAACGATACGCGACACACAATTACTGACAGTAAAGCTAAGTATTTAATGTAGAAAATTACTCACAAGATACCAAACCCAGAGGAGCCAAACAGTTCTCAGCTAGCAGCCGGACCGGAAGCCGAACTCCAGGAAAAGAGACCGAGACTTCCTGTGTGCTGTCTTTTATGCCTTCCCCCATAACGCCCCTAGTCATGCCCAAAAGTGGGCCTGGCTAGTGACGTAGTTCCACCTACGTACGTATACGTCTTTACATCCAGCCGTATACGCCTTTAGTCCTGCCTAAAGTGGGTGTGGTTAGCGGTGTGGTAAACCGCCCTTTTATTACCTCATCTGTATGCGCCTCTAATAAGTCACATGTTTAATGGCGGCATCAGACTTCCTCCTACAGAAGGGGATTGTGAGGAGTAGGGTCTGAGAACCCTGTCCTCCTCCTCCTTCTAAGGGGGAAGTAGACAGGGCTGTTATGCTATGGGGAATGTTCATAGGCACGCTTTACACACACACACACACACACACACACACACACACACACACACACACACACACCCTGTGCTATCCTGGGATCCCGCAGTCCCTACCAACAAGATCTTCACCAATTTTAAGTCCTTGACCTTAGGCCCTCCCCGTTTCCAGAGCTGTGAGCTGGATAAGCTTTGATATTCAGTTGTAGCAACAGGAAGGTTTGATGGGATCTGGAAAGTACTGGGCTGTCTTTGCATGTAGCTCCCTAGTGTGGTGTTTGTGAACACAGCACCATTTTCCTTATATGACAGGCATTACACTGCTGATTCACCTGCCTCCTTGGTGTCCATCCATTCCTCTGGGTTGGTAGATCTGCCTGCTCTCTAGGCATGGTGGGAAAGGCCCTAGGAACAGAAATAAGAGGCAGGAAGAGGTGAGGTCTATTTTGCTGCATAATCAAGGTGCCTGATATGCCCAACTGTGATGGCTACCTAGTCACTGCCACACCATGGTGGGTACTGTGGCTTGCTGACCCTGGCTGGGGAGTGGGTACCATGTAAGTTCAGAACCTAACAAAACCTCCCACACTGGCTACTTCAGTCATAGCCCCCAAGGCCTCTGGTCCCCCACCATGCTGTGTTTTCCCCTGTAACACAGGCCTTACATTTCCCGTCATTTCCCTACCCCACCTCATAGAACCTCTTCTGATTTTAGCTAGGTAACTCTCACCGCATCTTTGAATTTCAGCTTCCCTCCCTGGAAGGTATTTATTTCTCCAATAGGTATCACGACTCTGTGATTTTATTTTTGATTGCTGTCCTCAGTGTATAAGAATATGAATTTTCAACTGGAAAGTGGTGGCACACGCCTTTAGTCCAGCACTCGGGAGGCAGAGGCAGGAGGATCTCTGTGAGTTCGAGGCCAGCCTGCTCTACAGAGTGAGTGCCAGGTCAGCCTCCAAAACTACACAGAGAAACCATGTCTGGAAAAACAACGACAACAAAATATGAATTTTCCATGGTCCACATGCCATCCCACGCCCAGGACCACACCTGGCACAGTGGAGACACCCAGTAGATATTTTCAGAAGGTCTACAAACTTGTTCTGGAGCACTGAAGTCTAAGTTGGCGGCTAGCATTGGAAGACATTGAAGGACTGAAATCAATGGGGAGAGTGCGCAGACTCAAAGGTCAAGGTCGAAGGTCAAGGGTAAAGGAAGATGTGATCAGGGTTAGGAAAGGGGCAGCACCAAGGCAACTCTGAGGAGCCAAACAAATGATGAAGCCTGAGATCGTTCAATGACAAATGCGGGGCAGAGAAGCGTCCGCAGACAGACAGACTGACCGCCTTTAGTGGGAGAGGACTGGATGGAGAACAAGCAGATGGGACGTGATTGGGGGCAGTGGGCCCCAAGACTGGACGAGATTAGGTAAGGCTGACTTTTGGAAGGCAAAGACCCTAAGCCTCATTTCTAGGGATTCTGGTTGTTTTTATTCTAAAGGCAAAGCAGAAGCTGCTGACAGTTTTAAGAAGTGGTGTGTGTGTATGTGTGTGTGTGTGTGTGTGTATGTATGTGTGTGCACATATGTGTGCACATGTGTGTGCCTGCGTATGATGCATGCATGTGTGTGTGTACGTGTGTGTGTGCATGTGTGTTTGTATGTGTGTGTGCACATATGCTGGTTACTGTGTGGATAACATATTGGAGTCAGATAAGTTAGAAGAGCATTGGGCATTCAGGGAGTATTTGGAATAAAAGACTGGGTATTTTGTAAAAAAAAAAAGAAAACACAAAAACAAAATTGTATTTATTCATTTATGTGGTAGGGCTGGGAACCACTATTTTAAAACATTCCTTCATTTCAGCTACCCATTGCCTAGAGAGCTTTAAAAACCATTCGCTTCATTCCAGGTGTGGCCTACAGATGGGGAGTTTCCCAGGCTTCTCCAGACGTTTCAGTTGTAGAGCAGGGCTGAGAGCTGCCGCTGAGTTACCCGAGGAGACCTGAACTCCAGGTACCGGCTGAAGACCACTACAGATGTCCGACAGCTTGTTAGACATAGGCATCAGGCTCCAGCCAAGCAAGGACTCTTGAGGAGACTCTTTGGACCATCGGGCTCAGGAGGGGACTCATCAGAAATAGACACTCATGGGCCACTGAGTCAGAAGCCCTGGCGGAGGGCCACCCAGGTAACACTGGTTCAAGATAGAGTGAGCCAGGCATGGTGGCTAGTGCCTGAAATCCTAGTATTTCAGTCTGAGGCAGGAGGATCGCCATGGCTTTAAGATAAACTGGGCTATATATTGAGTTTCAAGCCAGCCTGGGTTACAGAGTAAGAACTTACATCAAAACAAACAGATAACCAAACAAAAATAGCATAGGTTGCGTGTGTCTCAGCTGTCAAATGGCCACTGTGCGATCATGGGGACCTAATTTTGGTCCCTTAGAACCTGCATTAAAAAATAAAATATAGCTGGGTGATGGTGGCACAGGCCTTTAATCCCAGCACCCAGGAGACAGAGGCAGGCTGAGCTCTTTGAGTTCGAGACCAGCTTAGTCTACAGAGTGAGTTCCAGGGCAGCCAGAGCTACACAGAGCATCCCTGTCTCAATAGATGATGATGATGATGATGACCATAAGAGGCTGGTAGCATGCCATGCCTGTAACTCAGCACTGGGAAGTCAGGTATAGGAAGGTCCCTGGAGCATGCAGGCCAGACAGTCCAGCAGCTAGGATTCTAGATAGATTATCAAACTCCAGATTCAGTGAAAAAAAAAAACCCAAAACAAACAAAAGCAAAAGCCACATGAGAGAATGATTAAGAAGAAAAAACCACCTGATATCAATGCTACCTCTACACACATATGCATGCGCACCTAAACACAAAACAGTAAAAGATTGAGAACCATAATTCCAGTGGGAGAAAGCAATAATTTCAGGATAAGCCTCCGTTCGGAAGCTGGTGGGTTATTTCAGTGGCTTGGCGGTCCAATACAAAAGACTGGGTGAATGGGTTTCTCTTCGAGAGACTCCCTACCTTCTTGTCCCAGGACACATCTTCTCTACCCAGTCTCTGGTCTTCCACCCAGGCTCCTGCTGGCAGCCTGACTTCCGGATGCATTTCACAGGAAACCAAGAAAAGACAGGCAGAGGGAGCAGGGCAGGGGGGCCTGAAGTCCCCACCGGAAGCAACAGGGAAACAAACAAGGAGAGCTAGGCGAGCGGGAGACTTAGGATGAAAGCTCCCACGGGGCATTACTCAGCCCTTGCTGTGTCCCATCACATGCAGCCGCATGCATGATTGGTCTCATCTCCTCCAGCTTGAGACTTCGTGGGGCATTGGGCAGATCGCAAGCTGTCTTAAGGGCGAACCAAAGGAGGGGCCGATGTCTCAATCTAATGAGAGCTTTCCCTCTGTTTCCCGGCTTTGTGGGTTCATTCCCCCTTTCAAGATAAAGTCTCACTACAAAGTCCGGGCTGGCATGGCGCTCGCACTCCACCACTGAGCCACATGGCACTGTCAGCCCCTCAGACCCTCTAGCCTGGTTACCTGAGGTAGAGCTGCTTCTCTAAATGCTGCTCTCTGAGGAGGATGGGGGTGCACGGGTACTGATCCAGACTTCCAATTTTAACACAATGCCATGGTGGTAAGAGAGAGAAGAGACGGAGAGAGGGGGGAAGAGAGGAGAGAGAGGAGAGGGAGGGAGGAGGGAAGAGAGAGAGACGAGGGAGAGAGGGAGAGAGAGAGAGAGAGAGAGAGAGAGAGAGAGAGAGAGAGAGGAGAGAGAGAGAGAGAGAGAGAGAGAGAGAGAGAGAGATCTGCGTGGATGGTCCCGGGGATCTCAGTGACAGTCATCAGGCCTGCTCCCTGCTCACACTCACAATCTCTGTTACCTCTGAGCTGTCTCACAGATCCACTGGTCTGAGGGGAGGGTAAGGATAGGGTGGAAAATGAAAGAGATCCCAGAGGAGAGAGAACAAACAGATAATGAAAGATTCATGTTCACTGAAGTTCAAGTTCATCGGTTCTCCATGTAGTCAAGGACAGCGAGATGCTCACATGCATCCTTGCTGTGCAGGGACACAGCCTTGCTCTTCCCCCAGGGTTTTGCAGTTCCAGGAGCTGTGGGCTGCTACCCGTGTTGCTCTAAGACCCAGCTAGTTTGGACCTCTGGCAGGGTTCCCATGGCCCTTTGGGTCCCTGAGCTCCCCAGAGCCCCTGTTCTGACATCTGCACTGGCCGCAGAGCTGTGGAGAGGGTGAGTGGTAACCCTGAGAACACTGGTAAGAAAAACTAGTTAGTTCATACCACGTCCTTTAGTTGTGAGCCACATTGTTGAGAGAAACCAAGGGGAGATGGGGTGGCATGACTTTGCCCGTTCTCCTCAGGCATCCCAGGTTCCGCCTGCTCTGCAGTGGGCCCTGGCTGCCCCCCCCCCCCCCCCCACTGCTCCATCTCACTCCACCATCCTTCCTCTGAAACAAAGCCTGCCTTCAGACTCTGCTACCAACGTGTGCCTGGCCAGGGGCCAGGGTCTAGCTGCTGCCAGAAAAGCCACTTGGCCAGAGGCATGGCTTTCCCTGCGTGAGCGTGAGAGGCAACTACCATTTCCTCAGGGTCTCCTGACTCCACTGGATTCAGAACAGCTGAAGGCTGGGCTGGTGGCCTTGGAAGCCCCCCACTGCCTTAACACCCCACCCGCCCACCCATTTCCCTTTCCTCCCCTTTTAACCTTCCTTCCTTCCTTCCGCCCTCCCCCCTTCCTCCTCTCTCAGGGTCTCACTATATGGCCCTGACTGGCCACAAACTCACAAAGATCTGCCTGCTTTTCCCTGCCAGGTTTTGGGGTTAACCGCCAGGCTGGGTTCGTGTGAGAACCAAAGTTGTTATGTTTTAAGTTTTAATTACTATACCTAGGAGATCTATAGAACAAAAAAACAAAAAACAACAACAACAAAAAAAAACGCTTCTAACCTTTAAGCCCCTTGCCCAAGGACAGGTAACTTCCTGAAATGCTGGAGGCTACTGTTTATGTGAGGTAACAAGTCACAAGTTTTTTTTTTTTTATATTCCCCCTAAACAAGTTTGTTTGACCCAACTGTACGTAACATACTCTATCATGTGTAGGTGGGAAGTATGTAAGCAGGAAATACATCAGGATATATGCTTGCTCCTGATTTGACCTGGTGGGAAATAGGTAGCCTTATGGGTTTGCCTTTGTAAACCTCTGCAAAGTGTGACTTGTCGCCAATTTCTTGGAACCCCTGAATGGACCTGGGCAGAGTCCATCATCCTGGCTAGTATTAATTAAAGCTTGCTTCAAACTTGGATCAAAATCGTGAGAGTGGTTGTTCTTGTCCGAGTAGTTAGTCTCTCACTGGAGGATGACCTTGACTTCTGACCTTCCTACATTTACCGCCCAAGATTAGGGTCTTGAGCCACTACTGTTAATCCATAGATGGGAGGAGAAAGACCACTGACCCAAATCATCATGGTCTAATTAATCAAAGCACGCTTTTTTATTTGTGTTCATGGACTGCCTCCCCTAAGGTGGGGCTCAAGAGATCAATATTAGATGTGAGGAAGACGAGGGTTTTATAGCTCGGGGTTAGGGGCTTCCAAATGGGGGGGGATATCGTTGGGGTTACACGAGCAGAATATAACTGGAGGTCAAAGCAAGGTAATCACAACAGATAGTCATAACAACCTTTCTGAAACAAAGGTAGGGTTGCAAGATGGTTATTAACTTTTTGAAACAAAGACATGACTGCCTTTTCTGGAACAGGCAGTACAGAACCATTTGTAGTTAAGGTTACAGGCAGGACATAGCTCAATCCCTGAGAGACAGAGGTTTAATCATAAACAGGAATGAACATAGTTTGTCTTTACTATAAGATGGCTTTTAAGCCTAAGATGGAGGCAGGCTGGTTCCTCACTATACCTGCCTTGATGTGGCTCTGGAGATCAAATCCAGGGCTTCATGCATGCCCTGCAGACACTCTACCCACTGAGCTACACTCCTCCTTCTCCCTGCTTTCCCTACTCACTCTTGATTCTGTCTGCTTCTTCTGCCCAGTCCATGTCTTCAAAGCATTGCTCCCACATAGACACAGGCACACATTAGTTGGTACGGCACAGCTCCTGGGGTCCCCACTTCAGCCCCAGGTACCCTCAGTTGATATCACACAGCTCCTGGGGTGCCCACTTTAGCCCCAGGTACCCTCCCAGCTGCTGCCCTAGTTTCTCTCCAGCAGTGAAACGTCTTGGGACAACTTTCTTCACATTATTTCCTGTTCCTGGCTTGCAATCATTGTGCGTCACTGCAACTGCCCCCCTTCTGCACTGTTCCACTCAAACTGCTCTCACAAAAGACTCCACACTACCCCAGTCTTGGGTTCTCGAGTTGTCAGGCTTGCATAGAAAACACTTTCCACCTGCTGAGCCTCCTCAAGTTCTAAGCCCTGTTTTATTTCCTGAGACAAAGTTTCTCACTGAACTTGGAGCTTTCTGACCCGCTGGACAGGATGGCCTGAGCCTTTTCCTCCCTAGTATTGTCATTTAACGGCATGGGCTATTTGGTATGCCCAGCTTTTTATATGGGTGCTGGGGACTTGAACTCAGGTCCTTGGGCAGCAAGCACTTTAGCAACTAAGCCATCTCCAGAGCCCAATACATGTAAAGGGAAGCCTTCCCGCCAGCCTGGTTCCAGAGCCCCATCAGTCCCAAATGAACGCACAGGAGGCTATATTAATTATGAAGCTGTTGGCCTTGCTTGTTTCTTACTGGCTAGCTCTGACTTAAGTATTTATCCCATAATTGCTAATCTAAGTATTTCTCTTATCGGAGAGGTTTCCGAGCTTCCTATCCCATGGCGTTACATCTTGACTTCCTGTGTTTCTCCTTCCCAGAGTCCTCCTGGACTCCTAGTCCCACCTATCTTGGTTCCCTATTGGCCAACAGTGCTTTATTGACATATACACAGGACTTCCCCCATCAAATAGAGAGTGCTCGGAGGGAAGAATTTGAACAGGGAGGCTGGAGAAGAACCTAAATCACACTAGTTCATACTGGGGTGAGCAGGCCTTCCTCAGAAAGCAGGTGGTCGAGCTGAGGCCTAGAGGCATGATGGGAGTCAGCCAGGAAAACCAAAGGCAGACACAGGCAAAGAAGACCACTGCTGGCGACACCTACAGCCCAGCTCTGGTTCCCTGACCCCTTCCCAGCATCGGGCGGTGTCTCAGTTACTTCAGGTCATCTGGGTTTCTCACATGGGCCTGGATTCTGCCACACAGCCCTCCTGAGCAAACAGCTTCTTTTATCCACCAGTTGCTCCAGCAGAAACAAGAGTTTTCCAGCCCCTCGCTCGCTCATCACCCCATGTAGCACGAAGGCAAGACCTGTCATTATGCCCCTGACATGCAGTAAGACTCCACTCACTTGCCCTTCTGCCCTTCCCTGGCCCAAGACATCTGCCCCTTGTAAACTTCAGTAACATCTCAGCTGCTCACCTAGCCTCCAAGACACTGCCCAGGTGACTAATCACATGACCGACTTCAAAGCCTTCAGCATCCCCCCTTTTTCTTTAGGCATGAGTTCCGCGGCTTCTGTGAAACGTAACCTCCCTCCATCTGTCTCACTGCATCTTGGGCTACCTCTCCTTCTCTCACTGGGATCCACCCTCATGGCCACCTGCCACTTCCCACAGCTGTCCCATTGCTGTGAGCTCCTTCTCTGTTGTGTGACAAAATTTTTCCCAGGGAGAGGCGACTCGAGTCTACTCAACCCAGATAGGAAGCCCAGGACAGACCAAAGTATGGATACCACCAAAGACCAACCTGGTGAACCGCGTGTTTTATTGGGGTTACTTACAGACATTTGGGTGAGGGGTTACTTACAGGAGTGGAAATGACTAGACATCATCAACACCCAGCTCATCCCAGGTTACAACTCACAAGGCTGGGGACCTGGAGCACACTGCTCACACAGGCAGCTCAGCAGTTGGAGAGTGTCCTTTCCAGATGTGGTGGCAGTTGGCCTAATACTCTTCCAGGCAGCTGGTCTGGTCTCAGCCACTTTTTGCTTCACTCTTAAGGAGAACTGTCAGATTTTATTGCTTACCCTGGCAGCGAGGGGCCCAGTGAGTCTGATTGGATTCAGGAACTTCCTGAAGCTATTTTTAGTTGTTTACCCTCCTGTTTAAGAAGCTTCCTGCAAGATGGAAAGAGGGGCTATGATACACACTGCTGAGGTCCATTCCATGGCGTCATGGAAACTGCAGTTGTAGTATGCCACGGGATTGGTAAGGTTCACTGGCCTGAGCTGCCTGTCTTCAGGGTCCACTGAAGATCACCAAAGCAAGCAGATCACTGCTGAGATGAGCTCCTGGTGTCCGCGCCCTCAGGAATGGTGGCCAGTCTCCTGGAAGCTTTCATATCCCACTTAGAAGTCAGGACTCCCTTCCTGGCTGGGTGTGAACTTTTTCCCAGCCTCGTGGTGCAGCCGTTTCCCATGCAGGCCATCAGCCCCTTTCCTCTTGGCCCCTGTCCTGCCCCCATTGTCAGGGCTGAGAGTACATCTGTGCCCTCTCATGTCTCCTCCATCTCCCACTTCCACAGGTCTGGGGCCATTTTTCCTAATGCAGAGAAAACCCCGCTCTCAAGCTCCACTCTCACAGCTAGTTTAAAGGGTCTCCTGCCAATGCTGAGGGGCTTTTAGGCTTTTGAAAACCAAAGCTGGAGGACTGGACAAAGGGGGAGAGTAATAGGAAAAACAAGCATCATTCAGAACAGGGTGTGGTCGCACAGCCCAGCACTGGGGAGGCAGAGGGGCAGGAAGATCACGAGTCTGAGGCAAGCACATGTTACATAGCAAGTATCATCTTGGAAAAGCAAACAACAATAACAATAAGATCTAACAGGAAAAACAGATCAGTAAATACTATCAATACCTACCTTTAATTATGTAAAGCTGTGCTACGTCTTTATGCTGCATTTGTTTAATTATGTAAAGATGTGTTGCTTTGCCTGCTTGAGGCACCTGATTGGTCTGATTAAAAAGCTGAGCAGTCAATAGCTAGGCAGTAGAAGGATGGGCAGCGCTGTAATTGGAGTTTCCTTTCCACCTGGCCCCACAGCCATTTGGCTCCAAATAAACACACAGAGACTTATATTAATTATTAAATTATTTGGCCAATGGCTCAGGCCTTTTATTGGCTAGCTCTCTCTTAAGTATTAACCTGTAACTATTAATCTATGTATTTCTACATGGCCTTATCTGACCACAGAATCCCTGGAGCATCCTATCTTCCCGGTCACTACATGCTGTCTCCCTGGTGGCCTCACTCTTTCCTCTACCCAGCATTCTCCTCATCTAGTAGCCCCGCCTATACTTCCTACCTGGCTACTGGCCAATCAGTGTTTTATTAATCAACCAATAAGAAAAACATTTATACAGAAGGACATCCTGTAGGTATTTTGGATGGATCAGGTGACACAGGTATTCTGGCATTCGGGAGTCACAGAATACTGAGTGTTACCCAGCTCAGGTGGAAAGGTATCCTGGAGCTAGGGAGCCAAGGACTACCACAGGTTACAGAAGCTTAGCAGCCTTGCCTCAGGGAAAGGCTTCCCAGTGTATCTGCTCTGCTCTGGTGGATGGAGAGCGGAGTGTAACAACTCTGCTCTGCCAAGGGAAGGTTTCCCTGGCAAAAGTGTTACAGTCCTGCTTGCTCTGCTCTGCCCAGGGTCGCCTCTGCTCTGCACGCAAAAGAAGATCTTCACCCAAAAGCTCATCCAGGGAGTTTATTAGGAGGGAAGAATCCAGGAGAGTGGCTGCCCTCTCCTACAGTGGCAGAGGACAGCAGGGGAGCAAAAATAGCCACAAGCTGAACAGACACAGGGTTTATATAGGGCTTCCAGGGTAGGGATTGGTCAGATTTTAGTGCTGAGCTCACATTGGCTAGAGCTCTGCTCAAGGATTGGTTAGTTTTCTGCACAGGATTAGGGTCAGATTTGGCTCTAGTTTTAGGGCCAAAGTGTGTTTCTTTCTTTGGTCCTTTTTAGCCTTTTGGCTCTAGTTTTAGGGTCAGGGTGCATTTCTTTCACTGACTCAGATTCCAGGGACAAAGTGTGTTCTTTTGGCACTGGTTCCAGGGCCAGGGTGTGTTTCTTTGGCTGGCCCCTTTTCCCTACACACCCCCGTCACAGGACTGGCAGGCAGAGAGAATCAGTAGAAGGGAGAAAGAAAGGGAGACGCCAAGGGCCAGTCAGTCACCAACCAGCCAGCCACGGAGGAAGCAGGAAAGTAAGACACTCAGAGGATTGATTTGCCCTGGGGAGTCAGAGCTTTAAGAGACAAAACAGGAAATAGAGGACAAGGGAAAAGGGGAAGGGACTAGGGAAGAGGAGGAAGGGTATTTGTACCAGAGGGGACAGAGGACTGGATAAAGGAGACAGATGTGGCACATACCAAAATGGAGGTTTATAAAAGTAGAGGGCAAATCCCCTGTGAGGATGAGGTGCTTAACTTTAATTGGGCATGTCGATTAGGGTGTCAAAGGCGGCTTTCGATTTCTGGACTTCAATACTTTGACAGCTGGACCTTGGTGGCCAGTCTCAGGAGGAGGAAGTGGCCAAATGAGGGAATGGACATTGGTTTGGTGACTAGCTTTAAGAATGTAACCAGAGGGTTTTTTGTTTGTTCGCTGTTAGTTTGTTCCGTTTTTGGTTTTTGTAAGGCAGAGGGAATTGGAGGCAAAGAGAGAGGCCTGCAGGCGGCATGTTCACCATGCTCAGGCTGGCTGGAATCCCTTCAACCTAGGGTTATCTTGTTCGTGTCTTTGGCTTCAGTGAGTCCCGCTTATCTTGGTCTAAACGTTCTGTGTTCTCATTAACAGTGTTTTCTTCCCTGTTTGCTTTCTTTCTGATTGTCTCAGACTCAAGATTGGTTCTCATGCTTTGTGTAAGTTTATAAATAAGCTACAGTGTGAGCTGGTGAAGGACTGGGAGCAGCATTCACATGCAGAATCGCAACATCTACAATGGGGCTTGCAAAAAGTCAACTGATAATCCACCAGTTAGCTCCTCATTTGGTCTGAGCCCAGTGTTTCCTACTTGTGAGGCCAGATCAAGGTCATCAGGGACCCTGAAACTCAATTAATTTGAGATTAAAATAACTACTAAACAATAAAATAAGTTAAGGGAAACCCTGTCCCGCGCTACCGTCTCGCCAGCAAGAACGACGCGGCACACTTAGGATCCTTCTGCAGAACAGCTTTAATGCGTCTTGAGAGGGAGAGCATAAGCTTACAGAGCGGAGACCCAGGGAGCGAAAAGCCCAACCCTTATATAGCTCAGCAGTCCCCGCCTCGGACGTGTCATCTCCTGACTGGCTCCTGCTCATCAGCCCATATGACGCCACGGGAGAGGCAGAGAGTAAGGGATGGAAAAGTAGCAGGCACATGCGCACCAAGGTTGTTTACTCCAACTGACAACGGGTGTCAGCGCCATCTTGTAACAGAGAATGTGGGGGCGGCTCCCCACAAAACCCTATACTGTAGTTATCTCCAATGAAACTACTTCGATGTTTTATTTCAATCACTGAACCCTGCAGCTCTTTGACTGATGCCTGCAATCCTAGATTTTGGAAGACAGAAACCAAACCAGAGTGTTGTTATGAGTTTGAGGCTAGCCTGGGCTACATTGTGAGACCCTGTCTCAAAAAACAAATGGAGGGAGGGAGGGAGGGAGGGAGGGAGGGAGAGGGGGGAGGGCAGGCAAATTCTTTCCTCAAGTTCCCTCCTTGCAGGGAGTAGGAGGAACTGGCCTTATTGGTGGCTGTGTGGCCTGCAGGCATGTATGGCTATCTGTGAAATTCCTTAGTGCCCACCAGAACAAGGGGTGTGGAGGTGAGCAGAAGCCCTGCCCCTGCGGTTATGGTAGCCTTGGGATCCTGGCGACCAGCCAGACTGTGTCCTTCTGATCATACTCCCAATCATCCCAGATGCCCAGTTCCACAGAGACAGAAGGGGCATCGTCTCTAGAGATGGAACTGTTCAGGCGCGACACACCCTCAGATCACAGTGGAGCAGTGTTTGTTTCACAGCTGATACAGTCAAGAAATTGAGGGGGGTGGATCGAATAGGCACTGGGGACCAGTACTTTACTCTAACACACTCTAAAAGCAAAGGAAGAAGGAGAAGGAGGAGAATGAATGAATGAATGAGCAGCAAGTAAAGGCAAAAGCAATTTTTGGGCTCCATTTATGATCACCATTAATTCTCTTCCAGGTCCTTCCTGCCCCTGAGTGTTTCAACTTAAATCCTAGTAAGAAAACAGAGTGTTCACTTACATGAAATGTCTTGTAACTGAATGGCAAGTACTGAGGACCCTGCAATTCTGGGTTAAGATTTCAGTGTCCCTGCTTCCCTCCTTGTGGAAGAGTGCAATGTTCGCTTGAGTTTACTACTCAAATTTCAGAACATAAAGAAGTTTGGCAGGAGTGAACTGGTCAAAGGTCCTTCTCCAGCTCTTATGAAAACAGAAGTTCTAGCCAGCCAAGATGGTCCAGGCCTGTGATCCCACCATCACTGGTGAGAGGCTAGCCTGGGCTGCACAGCAAGCCAGATAGAACTGTTCAGGGATACTTCATCCCAACACACATACAACACAAGAAACTCACAGCAGTGGGAGCTCTGATTAGATGCCTGCCAGAGTCATAACTTTCCCAAAGAGTAAGTAGAGCTGGTGTGTGTGTGTGTGTGTGTGTGTGTGTGTGTGTGTGTGTGTGTGTGATGTATCTGTGTGATGTGTATGTATCTGTGTGTATGATGTGAGGCATTTTTTTTTCTATTTTGCATTTGTCCAAAGAATTGGAAAGGATTGACAGGTGGATTGTAGGTACTCACATATGGGTCATACAGATGGGCATTCAGAAGACCATTTAGGGGTGCTGGGACGCTTGAGAGCATCACCCCTTTACTCTCCAGCTCTGAGAAATCTGGGTTCCATGTGACTTGAGGCTGAGTTAAAAGGCTCAGTCCAGTCTGAAATCCTGGGTGTCACAGAGGAGGCCAGGGGCATTAGACCTGGAGCCACAGACTGCTCTTAGCCACCACTTGTGAGCTGGGGATGGACTTCATCCTTTGCAAGATCAGCAAGTGCGCTTAACCACTGAGCTACCTTTCCAACTTCTGAAAGATTTTGAAACATTTATTTAGTTTGTGTATGCATGCTTGTGTTTGTACCCACAAGCCATGGGGTCCATTCCCTCCTTCTGCCATGTGGGCTCTGGGCATGGATCTCAGGCCATGAAGCTTGCCAGCAAGTGCCCTTGCCTGCTGGGACATCTAGATGGCCCCATAGGCTGAATTCTCGAAGACATGCCTGTTGGAATGCTACTGGGCCCAATTAAAGTGTAAAATCCAGTTTCCCATTTTCATCCAAAGGGGGGGGCGCCTGTGGGGCAATAAGTCCCATTTCAAAGTGGAGAAGACAGTTTGTAGAGGAGGTGGGCGTGCAGCTGTCCCAAACTCCTGCCCTTTCCTCTCTTTTAATATTCTAACTCCCATGGGATTAGAGAGGTAGCTCAGAGGTTACGAACACTGGCTGCTCTTCCAGAGGACCTGGGCTCAGTTCCCAGCCCCCACGTGGTGGCTCTGCAGGCAGATCTGCCTTTTATGTGGTTCAGTCACCTTTACTCTGCGCTGCCCACACTGCTTCCTCTCTGCCTGGACTCCAGCTTTCTTCTTCCCAGAGCTGTCTTTGTCCCCGGAAGTCCTGCCATACCTCTTGTCCTGCCTAGCTATTGGCCACTCAGCTCTTTATTAGACCAATCAGAAGGCTCTTTGGCAAAGACACATCTTCACAGTGTACAGAAAAGTTTATTCCACAACAGCTCACAAAATGTCTGTAACTCCAACTCCAGAGGCACATACCCATGACAAAACACCAACACACATAAAATAAAATAAAAAATGTAAATTAAAAAATATATATTCCAATTCCCATGGGGCTTGAAAGTTAGGACAAGTAAGTTTTCTGCTCACAGGGTAAATACTAGAAGCACCAATGGTACAAAAGGAACCCCCCCCAACACACACACACCAGTGTTCGCACATAGAAAACAGCTCGTCTGTGCCAACAACTGAAGCCTCGCTTCCCTTCCTTAGAGTGACAGAAGGAACGCCAGGCAGATCCTCCCTCCTTTACCTAGCACACCTGAACTTGGTTAAAGCCCTGTGGTGTCCAGCGACCCCACCCTGTGGTGATGCCTCGTGAGGCTTACTTTGGGCCCCTGTGTAGACCTAGCCTTCAGTGCTACTGTGACTATGCACCTGACCACAGGTGACTAAGCACATGAGGGAGTTAGCACTCTGCTCCCTCAGATGGTAGGTCAGATGATGGACTGGCCTCATTGCTGCTGGTGTCTTCATTATCCCCCCCATACACACACAGGAGCATCGGGCCATCATGGGACGGGCACAGAACTAGACTTTGAGGGGCTATTTGTGCGAGTGAATGGTTGCAGCCACACAGGAATGCCTTCCATGCAGCAGGGCATTTTTGTTCTCAAAGTCACGTGCAGCTGGGGAAGTGACAGTTGTCAGGCAGCATGGGGACTGCTGGACTGTTTCCCCCTGGGCAGCTCATCCCTGGGCCTCACTGTCACAGGGGAAGAAATGGGGTTCCTCTTACGGAGAAGCATTTTATTTCACGTAGAGCCTGTTTTCATAGGACCAGCTTTCTGACCCGGGGTAGAACTGACCAAACCGGGAACGCACTCCCAGATACCCATTTTCAGGAGCCTCCAGGGCAACTCAGTTGCTCAGGGTGAGTCCTCGTCTACAAAAGGAGTCAAAGGGCAGGCTTCCCATTCCCCTCCTCCCACATCCAGGACTTACGGTTCAAATCTCAGGAACAAAGCCAGGCTGAGCCATTGGACTCGCAGGTCCCAGGTATGGGAGGCAGGTTAGCCAGTACTGGGTCCCCAGCTGTGAGCAGGAACTCAGGTGCCCATTTCGTGACAATACTTGCATTCTAATACCAACACCTTATAGAAACAAGAAATGGTACATTTTTCGCATTCTTCAGTCAGAGAATGGAATGGAGGTGAGCGACACAGGCAGAATTCATGGAATGTGAATGTCCTTGCTGTTTCCTCGGTTGGCGAGAATGTCTCATCTTTTCGTTCTCCAGGTGTGACAATGCCCTCTCCTGCAGCCTATGTCCACCCCTACCTTGGTAGCAGTCCTGAGAGGACTGGGAGGCATCTCGGTGCTTAGGGTTGTCTTTGGTGTGGGAATGGGCTCAGTTCCAAAGAGTAGAGGCTGAGGACTGACGGCAGGAGGAAGAGGCGTAAGGCCCAGGAATCCAAGAAAGGTCAAGGGGCTGAACAGACAGCAGAGTAGACATGAGAGCAAGGTCGGCTGAGCCGTGAGGGCGCAGGCTGCTTGCAGGGGCCTGACTGTGATAGCTGGGCAGGCGGGCAAGCTGGGAAGACAGTTCTTCACGTAACAAGATTCCTGTTCCCTGCAGGAAAGGGTGCAGAAGTAGGGAGACCCGAAAAGAAGCCACCACTGAGAGCTATCAGACTCCGGTGCCAGCAGATGCTCTGGGCAGGACAGAGGGCCGAGAGTTTATTTTGAAAAGGGAGGAGAGCTGTGGAGGGTGGCTACAGAGGGGCCAGCAGTTCTGATGGTGGGAGCTGAGGGAGTTGGAAGCAGGAGCTACACGGACAATTTTGTTTCCCCAATTCGTGTGCCTATATCTGTAGACACCTCTGGAGATGTCACTTTGGAGAGCTAATTATGTTTTATAAAATCATAAGGATGGGCCCCCATGCTGAGATGATGCATGCTCTTACACGAAGAGGAAGAGAGCCGAGCCCTCTCCACTATGTTGTTTGAGGCTCAGATATCTGTCTGCAAGCCAGGAAGAAGGCCTCGCTAGGAATGGAGTCTGTAGGATCTTTGATCTGGAGAGCTGTGAGAAATCAACGTCTTGCAGTGAAGCAGCCCAGGCTGTTATTGTGCGTAAACGCTGATTAAGACCCACGCCTTGGTCATCTGCTAATATGAGGTGGTCACAGGTGGGGAGGACGCAGGTGCGCAGTGGGAAAGGATTAGGAAGGCGGCAGGGAGTCACAGAGAAGTGAGAAGGCGGCGGGGCGGGGCGGGGCGGGGCTGCGGAAAAGGCTGCCCCCTGAGAACTCAGCCAGGTCCGAGGACACACATGGTTTAGAATCCAGACCTCACAAGGGTAGGTTCCTCCAACTGCCTTCAAGAGCCCACATAAGAAGAAGGTTAGACTGGTCCCCAGAGGGATTTACCAGACCAACAACCCAAGGAACAGGACAGACATGTTAAGGTTGCAGGGAAAAGACACACTCACACACATACATGCCATTATAACCATGCATAATTATATGCACACATGATTGTGTGTGGGCTGAGATGCATAATAGATAAATGGACAGATGGATAGATAGGCAGAACAGACGTGACTTACTAAAATGGAATAGGGTAGGGAGGTTTTACATATACACATATGTATGCATATATGTATATATATATATATATATATATATATATATATATGGCAGCTAGCAAAGAATGATTCTGGTAAATCTTTTCTAGAAAAAAACAAAAACAAAAACAAAAACCTGAGGTAAGTATACCACTTAGGAAGGTCGAGGTCAGAATTAGCAAATACGGACTACAAGCTACAGACTCCATCCTGTGCCCAGAATGGTCACCAGTACTAGATGGCCAAACTCTTGGGCTGAGCTCTGAGTTATTGACACAGGGCTCAAGGAGCCAGCCTCGGGGAACTGGGATTGGCCCCTGACGTGAACCTGATTCTAGTGTGGGAGCAAGTGAAGGGTAAGCCTGGCTACGTTTGTGAGGTCACTGAAGAAGCTTTAGTACCGGGGAGCCTGCTGTAGAAGACAAAAGCTCTCACAGCCAGCCATGGTTCTTGGTTCCCAGAAACCTGAGAGAGCTAAGGGTAGCTCCAGGGATGAAGTCGGAATTTCCCTGGGGCACATGCATAAAGCAGTCTGCTGAAGCCCCAGAGTGTACTTGGGCTGTGGCCTTGGAGTCCCAGGCTGACATTTCAGCCCATACTTAGCTTTCAGAAGTGGGGAATAAGGCCAACTGTGACTTTCATGATGGAGTGACCTTCCACGTAGCCTAGATAAGTACCTGGGCTCTGCTTGAGGAGCCTTTGAGAGAGGCCCAGGCTGAGGACACAGAGTAGCCATAACTGAGAAACACCTTTCACTTACTTAATTCCCACTTCCTCTGGGTGAGCAGCCCCAGATTTCAGGAAGCTTCATTCTCTTCCCCTCTTGTGGAACTCTCTGGTTTTAAGCCTTTGTTTACATCAACCACGGCAAAACCAGTCTCCGGTTACACAACATGGGAGACAGGAATAGAGTAATGGTGAAACCTGGGGACTCCCATTAAGGCCAAAGATGCTGAGAGATCAGCTATTCTTGTAGGAGTTAGCAGTATTAACGCCTGACTTGTCACAACTTCCTCCAGACAGCTGCTAACACTGACCTTGTAAGCCCCCTCTGTCATCCCGGCCCTCTGCTGCATAGGAATGCTTGTTCTTGTTACCTAACGTGCCGAAGTGGGTTCAGTGTGAAGGGTTCCTGGACTACGTTTTGCTCTTTGTCTTTTTGTTCAGGTTTGTTTGTTTCTCCTTAGAGTTTTCTCAAAAGAATCAAGAAATGGTCACCGAGAGAAACCTCTGAGAATGTAACTGAAACACACTGATTCCTAACAGGTAGAGTTACCAAAGGAAAACACAGCTGTGGTGTGTGTGTGTGTGTGTGTGTGTGTGTGTGTGTGTGTGTGTGTGTGTGTGTGTGTGTGTGTGTGCCTGTGGTGTGGCTGTGTTGGGGTGAGGGAGTGACCCAGGCAGAGAAAAAGAAGAGACCAACATGGCCTTGTGTGGGCAGGAGAAGGTGTGCTTTGCAGTATCTGTGAGTCCCATGTCTGGCAGGTTTGTCTCTTACTAGTAACACATGGTATGAGTTAGCTATCACCTTGGCATTTCCTCCAGTTTGACCTGTTTTGACATCCAACCAACCCACATTGTTTTTCTATCTTATTCTAATTAGTAAAAGATGAGATTCTCTTGGCCAACTGAGAGTTTTCTGAGGTGCGATGTCTTTGGGATAGGATAGGATCCCAAACATAATTTCTGTGTGTGACAAAAGTGAGAATTTGGAAATAGACTTTAAGTCAACGTTGCAGAGAGAGGACAAAGTTCCCAAAGCCATCTGCAGTATTACAAGGGATTACAATAGCTCTTGACAGGGTCCCAGCTGTACCTCCGTCAAAGGGTCCTCAGCTCAGGGACATTTACCCAGCATCTACTGCTGAACAGGAAGGACACGCAAACGCAGTGGCTTCAGTAGGTTCACAGACGGCTAGGGAGGCAGTATACATAGGCCCAGTAGTAGTTGGCTCTGTGGTGAAGTCACGGCCTGTGGTCTGAGCATGGAGTGCCCTCCCCAGGCTCACGTGTTAAGGCCTTTGGTTGTCAACTGATGGCCTTGGGGAAGTGACTGGATTCTGAAGGCTCTGATCCAGTCAGTGGGGTTATCCCTTGATGTATTCATAACTCATAGCATTGTTGAAAGATGACAGAAGGTGGAAGAGAGGCCTACTTGGGGCAGTCTTAAGGGCTATATCTTGCCTGCACTATGTTCTGTATTCTGTCTCTACTTTGTGCTCCGGGAGAGGAGTAGCCTCTGACATGTGTTCCTGCCATGGTGATACTCTGCCTCACATGGGTTCTGAGTTAATGGAAGCAAGAACTGTGGATGACATTCCCCAAACCATGAACCCTGGTGTGTAGCAATGTCCTCTGAATTGAAATCCTCCCTCCTTAGAAGGAGAAGGGATGCTCAGAAGAATCCTGGAAGTTACAGCATCCATTCACAAGGTCCCTCCCAAGATTACATAAATCAGTAACTACTGCCATGGAGGGAAGACTTCCTGGGGTTGCCTAGGGGTTGTACAGGGAGCACGAGGTATGCAGTTTTAGCGAGCTGTCACTCATGCTGGGGTGGGTTTTTGGGTAAAGCCGCTGCTTTGTGTCACCCATATTCCTGTAAGTAGTCCCCCCCTCCTGTAAACAAGCCCTCATCCACACACCTATACTCGCAGTAAATTCACTGGTCTATCAAGTTAGACTTGGGTGGTAGCCTTCCTTCTGTCCCTGCTGTCCATCTGGATGAACTGGTGTCTGCTCACATTGCTCTCTGAAGTTTACACAAGCCACAATAAATAAATCCTCCAAGTTGTTCCCTTGTGAGCATTTTAGCCACAGCTCTGGAAAGTTAGCGAACTCGGAGAAGCGCTATAGAATAAGCAAGCTCTGCTACAAGGAAATCTGCAAGGTCTAGAGTAATCAAAAAAGTCTTCCTGAATGTATAAGCTATGGGCTGACTCTAGAAGCAAAGCGATAAGTTTAGTGTGTAAATGCCTTCACATTTTTAATTACAAAAATAGTAAGTGTTCATTGTAGAGAATTAAAAAGATACATAGTATGGGGGAAAGTTCAGTCCCTCTACCAGGGAGTAACTCTTGAGGCTTCATTCTGTACCCTGAACCCCATTTTACCACTCTAGCCTGTAGTGGTTTTGTTTTTTTGTTCTTTAACTCTTTGGCCACTGTCTCTTTGTTCTTTGGGGGTCTGCCACCCAGCTCCCAAATAAATACACAAAGACATATTCTTACTTGTAATTGCCCGGCCTTAGCTTGGCTTGTTTCTAGTAAGCTTTTCTTAACTTAATTATCCCATCTATCTTTTGCCCCTGGGCTCTTACTTTTCTCTGCTTTTGTATATCTTTTCTTTCCTCCTTTTTAGGTGTCTGGCTGTGTGGTTGGGTGACTGGCACCTGGCACCCTCCTTTCCCTCTTTTTTTCTCCCTCCTCCCCTCTTCTCCTCCTCCTGTTTATCCTCTTTGCCTGCCATCCCCGCCCATCCTTCCTCCTGCCTAGCTATGGCCATTCAGCTCTTTATTAGACCAATCAGGTGTTTTAGGCAGGCAGAGAATCACAGCTTCACAGAGTTAAACAAACGCAGCATGGAAGAATGCAGCGCATCTTTGCATCATTAAACAAATGTTCCACAGCATAAGCAAAAGTAACACGTCTTCATATTCCACACACCAGTCTAATTTATTTTGTGCCTATAAAACACCCTCCTCTTATTTCGAGTCCAAAATGCTTCTGCTGCTCAAGTAAGTAGATGAGCTGCTGCTGGGCGTCTCACTGAGGTAAGTCTCACTTATCGCCCCCTCTTCCCTTTTCACCAGCCTCATTCTTACTAACCCTCAGCAGCAGCTTCCTCAACTTACCCATTTGGGCTGTCTCAGTCAGTTCAGGCTGCTACAAGAAAACCTGAGTGGTTTGTAAACCTGAATGTCATTCAGCCCAGCCACTGCTCCTCCTTCCCAATGCCATCACCATGGGGGTTGGGATTAAATGCAGGCATGGGTTTTCTGTCCCCACAGGTCCTGCCACCCTCCTCTGTCCCCAAAGAAGCACACAGACACTATATTAATTATGAAACTATTGGCCGTGACTAGGGTTTCTTATTGGCTAGCTCTGTCTTAATCCATGTGTTTCCTTTTTATATTAATCCATGTATTTCCACGTGGTCTTGCCTTACCAGGGAAATGCTGGACCTGCAACTCCTTTGCCTGCTACATGATGACTGCTCAGCGTCTCAGCAGAGAAGAGAGCGATTTCCTGTTTGTCCCTGCTATAGCTTCTTTCTGCCCAGCTACATCACTTCCTGTCTGTCTGTACAGACCTCCAGACCTCTAGCTAGTGGCAAGCTCCATTCTCTGATCCCTAGACAAGATTTATTTGTGCAAGAAAGATGTCACCACAATTAAACATGAATTTTGGAGGGACACAGGCATAGTAAGGGCCACAGTGTGGGTCTGTCTTGGTTTCCCATCCTTTCCTCTTTAAGACCCTGTAATGTGTTACACACATTATTACTGTCACCATTTCCTGGCATCTTTTCATTAAATACCTCTACTTTAATAACCTGGGTCTTTCTGGTTCTGCTGATGGACTTCTGACTCTCTGCACTGCCTCTCCTCCTGAATGATGAGGTCCTATGGGCCCAGGGGCTGCTTGTCATACCACAACTTGGTAACCCTTGCTATGTTCTCCCGCTCCTGCTCCAACCACCCCTATAGACACCAGTGTCACCCTTTCCAAAGCTTGCCCAGCTCAGCCTAAAGCTGACAAGCTTCTGAGGCAGTCGTGGGTCTATAATGAATTTGGTAATTAATCGTGCATTTCCTGTGCCAGGTCTTCCGTGCTTTCCACAAGTTGGTGTTGTACACACATTTTAAAGGGTCTTAAGAAGCACATTGATTTTGAGCACATTTAATGGAAAAATAAAGTCTCTCCCCTTTAAAGAACATAAGTATAGAGGTTAGCGAGATGGCTTGGGAGTTAAGAGTGCTTGCTGCTCTTACTGAGGACCTGAGTTCAATTCCCAGAATTCACATGGGGGTGGGAGTGGGGGTCTCAATCACTTGTGACCACAGCTCAGGAGATTCGATGCTCTTTTCTGGTCTGGGAGGCACCAGCACACATATGACAGATAACACACACACACATACATAAACAGTAAAGAAAAATTTTTCCATGTTTCAAGACAGGGTTTCTCTGTGTATCCCTGGCTGTCCTAGAACTCACTTTGTAGGTTAGGCTGTCCTCGAACTCACAGAGATCCATCTGCCTCTGCCTCTGAGTGCTGGGATTAAAGGTGTGCACCACCACCTGTTTTGTTTGTTTGTTTTTGTTGTTTCAGTTGGTTTGGTTTTTGGTTTTTGGATCAGTAAAGTAAATCTTGGGAACACAAAAAAAACAAAAACAAAACAAAACCCAGGAAGAACCCGAATAATTTTAAAGCATTTGGAGTCTGTTTGCCTTAGCTAGTCACTGATGAGAGGAACATGGCTTTCATACTCTAACAGTGTCAGATGTTTGCTGGACAGTCAGATACCAGTGGGTTCTTTTATGGGAAATTTGAGGTCACTGTTGTTATACCTTAAGGTATATCATAAGATGGCAGAGGGGAAATTATTTTTTAAAGTAATACGGGACATATTTGAAGAAAAACAAACCAAACCAACCAATAACTACGCAGAACAAAACTTTTCAGAAAGAACACTGCTATGGTTTGGCTGCGTCTCCTGTGAATGTCATCTGATGGAGCTTGAAGCCTCAAATTATGTTAATGGTGTGTGGATGCGGAGAAAGCTTTCATAATGTGGGCTGGTGTCTGTGAACTGAGGACTGACAGGCTCTCGAAGGTTTGCTCTGCCTTGCTACAAGATGCTCTATTATAAGATGATGTGACCAGGCCTGTCCGGAAGCTAAGACGACCCTGGTGCTCACGGGCCTCCAGAACCAAAATAAGCCTCTTGGTTTTAGAGATTACCCAGGGAAAGTTCACTTTAACATTTTAATGACAGGCTGGGCAGTGGTGGTGCACACCTTTGATTCCAGCGCTCGGAGGCAAAGGCAAGTAGATCTCTGTGAGGTCAAGGTCAGCCTGGTCTACAGAGTGAGTTCCAGGACAACTGCGGCTGTTACATAGAGAAACCCAGTCTCTATAAACAAACAAAAAACAACCCCAAAACATTTTGGTGACAGAATTAGAGATCCCTCAAGTAAACGTCCGTTTTGTAGGAATTGTTTCAAATGCACACGCTGAGTGAATAATCTAATCCACTTATTTCAGCAAATATTTGTCAAGTACCTACTGGGTGTCAAATGAGTTTCTCACAAGACAGTATCTCTACTCAGAAACTCTGATTGACATAGAGATGTAGAAACCGATCTGTCATTTTGGACTGTAGCTACTGATGAGCAAGGGATGAGATGGTACCATCCACACAGAAGCAGGGGAATGTGTCCCAGAGCTGAAATATACAGGTTGTCAAGCTCCCAAGAGCTCCATTTACAAAGCCAACAGTGGGGCTCTTTAGAACTGTGGAGCACTTTAGCTAAGAGCATTCCAGGCATGTGTAAGTTAATTCTATTGTATAATTAACTTACTCTGTGTAAGTTGATTTGCACGGCTATTGACCCACACTCAGTCCAGCTGGATCCAATGACAACCAGATTAGTGATTCAGACTAGACAAGAAGATGGGCCTCGGCCAGAATGAGGCGGCAGTCAGTTGTGCAAGCTTTCTGAAGACATGGAAAACAAGCTTAGACGTCACCATAGTGTGAGTGAGGGGAGCTTGAAATTAGTTTTAGAATGTGTCCATTGTCTACTCTTATAGTCCTAATACCAGGAAAAGGAAATATGAGTAATTGCTGTCCAAGACCGAAGCTGGTTTTCACAGTGAGAAATCCTCTTTCTCTGGGAATGCTAGTCTGTGGGATTTTGTAAATGGCTTTTATAATTACAGACTATACTATTAAAGACGGGCCATTCAATTAGCCATTTGCCTCCGTGGAACGGGGAGATCCCATAATGACGGGTTAATGGATTCCATGCTTAATAAAAGTAAAAGGGACCATTAGACTTCTCGTAAAGTCAACAGTGTAACTCTTTGCTGGCCACTAGTTCCTTGTTAAACTGGCCTCAAAAACAAATGTATGTTGATCCCTGAGATTCCACAATGGTTTAATGGGTTTCACAGATGCAATCAAAGGTGGTTTTCCCAGCAACTTGAAATTGGGGCATCGGAAGCTTAAGTGAAGGTCATATGTGACCTCAGGTTACTCTAGACATAGGACACCCAGAGCCTGGTTCCCTGTCTCCTGGATCTCCCAACTGGTCCTGTTTACCCTAGGAACTGTGCTCGTCAGTGTCTGAAGGGAAGCCAGTGCTGGAGAGAAGATCTAGCCCTACTTCAGAGGGTTTATGAAGCCCCAGAAGAATTCAAGGAGGGGTGGGGGCTGGCAGTGGCACAGGGCAGTGTGTGACCAAAGCACTGGGAATAAAGGGCTCTGCCCACAGAGTGGAAGGGGAGATGCAAGCTCTACTTGTGGGGTTCAGGGCTCAGGTGTTCAACCATTTGTTCCAGGGGAAGCAGGGTTATTCCGGGATGCCCAGTTCAAAAATGGGTAAAAAGATGGGTCAAGGGCTGGGGTTTAAATGTCAAAGAACAAGTGAGCACCAGATGGCTACCAGAAGCAACATGCCTTTCAGACTTCACTGCTCAGCAAAATCTAAGGCATCTTGCTAAAATTGGATCTCGGGATTCTGTTGCTTCGGGTTCTGCGCTCAGCAGGTGATGATGATGCTGGCTTATGTACCCACCACCAAAGTTCCAGAGTAGAGGGCAATCTCCCTCTTTCTCTTTCGGGTATGCATCATGGTTCCAAGAAAAGGGCAATAACTCCATTCCTACTCAACACCACGGCTGGGCCAAGCAGCTCACTGTGGGATGAGGCTCAGATCAGAGCACAAAGATGCTAAGTCAATGGGCATAAGAATGATTGGACAGAAATAAAGATAATTCCCTTCTTGTGAGTCAGAGGGGAAAAAAACCTCTTTTTAAATGTAAAAGAAAAACATCCTTCATTACTTCCACTATGGCTAGTGCACTGAGTGACACTCCCCTGCAGACCGGGACTGGAGCAAACACTCTGGTCCAGGTCCAGGGACAGGGCTTATGAGTTTACTCTCTCCCGTTCCAGCCCCTGTGAAAGTGAAAAGGGGGTGATTCCCTCCAGGCCATTGTCCTTTTCTCATGACTGTGACAAAATGCCCGAAAGATACACACGTTATTAAAGGAAACGTTTATGGATGCTTGGAGTTTCAGTCCGCATGGCAGAGTTTGTGGCGATATCAGTGTGAGACCAAGGCACCTCCCTTCCTGGTGCACCAGGAAACAGAGGACCGGACTGTAAGTATGATCCAGCTGTGATTCTCAAAGCTGTGGCTCTCAAAGCCTGCTCCCAATAGCCTGTGTGTGCACTTCGGCTCCTGTCTTCCAAACAGCATCACAAGATGGAGCCTGGCCTGTGGGGCACATTTTACATCCCAATCTTTTTTGTTTGCTTGTTTGTTTTGCACTAGGTGCTGTGACAGTTGGTGTGACTACTTAACTAGGTCATAGTCACTTGTCGAACACCCTAGTGTGCAAGGGATGCAGAAGGTGCTTTGTAGCTGTGGATGACGTCTAACGTCTGCAGTCAGCTGTCTGTAAGGAAAGGACTGAAGGGAAAACCCCAAGGTTTTCGAAAGGACCTCAAGTTTCCGCACCACTGCGATCTCCAGCCTGCAGCCTGCCCAGTTGAGTTCAGGCTTGCTAGTCTCCACAATCCCACGGGTCACTTCCTGGAAATAGATCCTGTTAGTATACAGAATCCATCCTCATTATTGGTAGTCCTGTATTTGTGAATGTGAGTATTAAATTAGTCTGTAATCCCAAACCAATCCATGCAGCCTTCATCCAGCCATTCACCCACTCGCTGCAAACGCAGTGGGCCGCAGCCGTGCAGAGCACATGTTTCCTGCTCGGGCTGAATGAGATGACCGCTTCTCCTTTCATTTCTCTAACTGTGAAAAGGGGTTCCTTCGGCGGCCCATTTAGCCACAATTTTCACATTTTTTCTGGACAGTGTCACTGTTTGAAACAACACTTTAGGACAACGCTGGCATGCTGGCTAATGGTCGTAAGCACCGGAAGACGGGGTATGCCTTATGGGGAACACAGTGCTGGG